ATATTGGATTCCTGCAGTGATTTTACGGGGCTGTCAGTTTCTCATGTCACAGATTTATGGAAATACCTTACAATGGCACCCAGCCTTCCTCACAGCTTGATCCTACTCTTAAACTGCCAACCAAATGCCAACTCACGTGTCAACTGCACGGTAACTGCCATAGCCTGTCCAAACGTCCCTTTCTACCTTCTGTACAACAATCTTTGGTCATTCATCTTTCCACTCTCCTGAGAAGGTCCTTGGCACTGCAATAACTGCATTTCTGCCTTCTTCTAGAAAGCGTTTAAGAACATGGCTGTCTCAGGCACAGGACACACGAAGGAGCCGTTACAGTGGGACGAGGCTTCGAGTAACAACAGCAACGTAAAATATCCTGTGGTGGGATGTTTTTACCTACCTTTCTCCCATCAGAACACATTTCGTCTTCAGCAGGGACGTTGGGCTCTTCTCTGGCTTTTTTTTCCACTTCTTCTGATTCTTCTACTTTGTCTTTTGAATGCTGAGTTAACTCTTTGCTATCTAAGACTTCTGATTTTGGCACACTCTGACACCGCAGCCAAAGCGGAGATAAGTGATCGTACTGAGTGTGCAATATGCGAACAGCAACACTGCTCTCAGCCAGTGACTTTGGAAGATCAAATCCATGCTGTACGTCACAAAACGTGTGCTGTTTGAACCTGTAAATAAGTTAAAAAAAATAACATTCCCTAGTAAGATTGGCAGCACTTACATTTACATTCCTTCCTAAGAATTCAGATTGATGTTCTACGCTAAAAGTCACCTAAATTCTCTTTTGTTGCAGGGCACAGCCTAAGAAATCGAGTGGGATGTCACGATGCGCTTCCCGATTGTCCTGACAGCTGTCTGTAAGCCCTTCCAGAAAAGCTGTAACTGCATAACGGGGATCAAGAGCTCCAAAGAGAACAGCCCTGACTGACAGGCTGACAAAGAGGCAGAATCAGGCGGCAGCTCTTCCACACAGTACATTCCTGGTAAAACAGGCTAATTTAATGGGAAAATTCCTATATAGGTGACGTCACTAGCTGTCTGCATCACATCAGTCTCAGCATCTTCCACATAAAATCCAGAGAGATGCACAGACATGAAGGTAATTCTGATAACTGACAGTGTCACACAGACAGCAGTCCTTGTGACCATGTAGGAGACGGGAAGAGCAGCACAGGAGGTCACTTTGCATCAGATCAAGTATCTAACTCGGGAACTTGGGTTCTTTCACCAGATACAGAGGTTTCTTGCTCATTGCAATTTCTGCCCAACCAAAGCCAGAACAATTTAAAAAATTCTTATTTTCTGAGAAGATCAGCTAGTCACACATTCTAAGATTGTTCTAGGAAAGCAGCATTTATTTTTTAATTCTGGGTTGAAATTTTTATGTACATCTCTAAGCTGACCAAAAGGCTTTAACACTAACCCAAAATGGGCTCTTCCTACAGGTCAGTCTGACACTGCTCAGCACTCAGCCTTCTAGCTACCTTAGCAACAGTGAAGGCAAAGTCCTTCTACCAATTTATTCCTCATATTTGCAGAGTGGGAGTAGGAAGTCTGCTCAAAAACCTTGTTCTGAAAAACAGATGAGTTAAATGGAAATCTAATTTAAAAAATCTTAGCTACAGAACACACTAGGGAGGATATTTGCATTCCAGGCCCTTCAGTCTTTTATCTAACAGACAACTGAGCCCAATGCACCACTTTGCAGGAAACTGTAACAGCTTAGAAACTAGTTTAATGCATCAGCAAGAAACATTACTTCCAGAAGAATTTCAATTTTCTGCATGAGTTTTATTGTTTTCCTTTAAAAATTCTTCTGGCAGTAACAGGGTTCTCCTGTAGCATTTTAAGAAACAAATTTTATATATGTATAAATATATATATATTTACACATATGTAAAACACTCCTGTTTCTTTAATAAAACTGGGATGTAACCACTACCTTCCTTAGCAACAGGTTGGTATGAAATCCATCAGCTGGGATGTCTGTAGAATAAATCTATTCAACATGAAGAAGATGATGAGAAACTGGTTCTTGGTGTTTACTTGACTTGGGTATACAACAAATTACTGACTTCAGCATGCTGTACCTTACTTGCTTCGTCAGATTGGCCCAAATACAAAAAGTAACATTTTTGTCCTTTATGATTGCCTCCATATTTCCTGTGTCAGAATCTTCATACATATTACCTGTCTACAAAGAAAAAAAAGCAGATTAAATAATGTTTTCTTCTTATTTATAACTCTTTGATTTACACTTGAATAAATAAAAGAAGACACATGGGAATAAAAATCCAACAGACTAAGCTCAGGTATGCTGCACTTATGTACTAAAATGTAACAGTTAAAAACTCAAATCTCTCTGTTAAAATTTGAACTATGTTATTTTAATTCCTCTGACTTCAATTCTGTCAGTAACAATACTGCCAAATATGGAATCTTACATTATCCCCTTCAAAGGTACTGCCTATCTCCCTTAATCATGTTCCCTCAAAAATACTTCTTAGGACAAGTTAAAAAAACAACAAAACCAAGCCAAAAGCAGACTTACTGAGCAATAAAGCACAGCCCACAGACTATACCACAGCCACTGCACAGATTATTTTATATTTTTGTCAATATAAAACTTGTGAAATTATAATTACCTTAGGAGTTTAATCCTAAAGTCAATAAAGATGATCAAGAATTTAACATTCCTTAATTTACAGAGGGTTTTGACTGTGAACAAGCATACAGAGGGTTCCTAGTTCCTTTACTCCCTTTCCTTTTTTGTTTCCACTAGCAATATTCTTTTGCTAAACATACTTGTGTATTTGATCGATAGACTTAAAATAGCAAGCAGGATCACCTAGATACATGCAACCCAGAAAAACTATTCCCAAGTACATTTTCATTTTCTTGTTTAAATATTCTTTACTCTTCCTAAGATCTTAGCTTAAAAACTATTTCAGTCGTACCAACTGGCACTAAAAGATGTGTACAAGCAGACCTTATGATCTGCTTTTCACATCTGCAATTTTTTGTACAGTCAACTAACTTTAATTTAAATCATTGAGACAAAATAGGAAACAAGTTTAATACAGCACCTTCATTTTCAACATTTCCAGTTCTCACAAAATATCACAATAATTTCACATGAAATGTCTTTATGGTGGGAATTTCCAGTGTAAAGCTAAGATTTGCAGGGGGTTTGAAGCAATAAAAAATCTAGCATCTGCTACACACATGACCTGGAAACTCAAATACTAAATTTGGAAACTAAACACTAATCTCTGTGACAATTTAAGAACAAACAAAACCAACCATCACAAGACACTTGTAGCTAACTTCATGTGCACTGTGAGAAGTAGTAAATCTTACCTTAAGCAAGTGTTCTGTTGCTCCATCGTACTTCTGCTGAAGCAGATTCTGCAGTTCCAGAATGGATTCCTGGTACTGGACTGTTTCTTTTTCTGTTATCTCACTTGGTGGTGTGTCCAGTAAAAGAAACTGCAACTTCTCAATTAACTAGAAGACATTATATGTGGGAAAAGTATCTCTGTTTTGACACCACCCTTAATATACTGTGTGTTCTGTCATAAAAAAATGAGGCAAACTTTCTTTCTTTGTACCTAAACACATTTTAGTCATGGAAATAATCTTTTTCTATTATATCTCTAGAAATTGTGCTAAGCCAGCATTAGCAGAGAGCCAGTCAACCACGCCAAGTGTTGGAAATGCCAGGGAACTGCTTGAGAGAGTCCAGCACAGAGCCACCAAGATGACGAAGGGAGTGGAGCATCTCCCTTATGAGGAAAGGCTGAGGGAGCTGGGTCTCTTTAGCTTGGAGGAGACTGAGGGGAGACCTCATTAATGTTTATAAATATGTTAAGGGTGAATGTCACGAGGATGGAGCCAGGCTCATTGACAAGGGGCAATGGGTGTAAGCTGGAACACAGGAGGTTCCACTTAAACTTGAGAAGAAACTTCTTTCCAGTGAGGCTGACAGAGCCCTGGGACAGGCTGCCCAGGGAGGTTGTGGAGTCTCCTTCTCTGGAGACATTCAAGACCCGCCTGGACGCCTTCCTGTGTGATCTCATTTAGGTTCCTGCTCCGGCAGGGGGATTGGACTGGATGACCTTTCGAGGTCCCTTCCAATCCCTGACATTCTGTGGTTCTGTGGTCAAGTGTGCCTTCCTTCATTCCTCTAGCCCAATTCCTTCGTTCCTTACCTGTGGACTGTGAAATCTTAGCCTATGAAATAGATAATTTATTGAACCAGATGGGTCATATTAAGAAACATTTTGGTCAAAAATTAGTTTTCATGGAAAGCTTACAGCTTTATTTTTGAATTTTAAAGCTTAAAGCTTTATTTTGAAATAATATTTTCTATAGTAATAATCTCAAGTACGAAATCTTAAAAAAAAAAAAATAGGAAGACAAATACAATTACATTTTAATTCTCAGAATAATCCTTATCGTGAACTTTGGAACTCTGTCATAACATTGTTGTCTTCCACTACATGCTCATATCTTAACATCTAAATGCTTGTATAGAACTAAAAAACTCCTAGCTGGCGAAAGTGACCTGCAGCACTGAGATGAGAGAAAGGGAGGATCGGATTATGTTTTATATGTCTCCCTTCAGACTCGCCAGACTCTTCTTCCCCTCACCTGTGGAATCATTGTGCTGCTGCTCATTAAAGGTGTGGCAAAGCAGCACAGAACTGAAATGACTCCTGTCTTTTTTGCACTGCCCTTTAACATGGTCTGCCTCGACAGTGAGGTTGGTCCCTGTCAACTCTGAGCTGCTGATCTCCAGGATCTCACAGTTCAGAGTGTTTAATAATTTCCATTAAATAAACACGTAGAACAGGAAAGAAATGCTCAAGTGATTTAGAGCAAGAGAAGACAGACAATCTTTTTGACATCACCTTGCATTTCCAGTAGGGGTAAAACAAAAATGCCTGTTTTCTAGTATCACATCATACTCCACCGAGCACACAGTGCAAGGCAGTGTATGTTTACAGGACCTGAAATAGCTGGAACTGCTTCAGTGTTGGATGGGAAACATACAGCAGGGAGAGGAAGTGTGTTTGTGGGAAAGATGTGACAGCAGGGAGAAGAGTGGCAAGAAGGAAGGGAAGTGGGCAATTGCCAGGCTTTTGCTTGGGTTGCAGTGGAGAAGGGAAAGGAAGGATTTATCTGTTGAAATTCTTGGAAAGGACCAGCACATTCCCTGTGGGCTCAGAAAAAGGCAGTACCTGGAAGGTGAAAATTGCAGCACCCAGCAAGAACTCCAAGAAAGGAAACCTAATGCTCAGAACCAAACCTGCCCCAAGAAAAGTGGTATTACACATGTGACTTTCACCTCCAGTTTCTGGAGAAGCCCATTTAACTTCCTGAAAAACACTATAAATTTAGCATAAATGAAAATAAAATCCTACATTTACAGAGCAGCCACAAATTGCTTAAAATTGCCTCACAAATCAGCAATGGCTGGTAGCCTGCATTTTGGAAACTCCTGCTCTTACACGACACTTTACTGGCTCTAAGTGTTACACAATAAGGCTGCTGTCCACAGAAGCATCTTTATATAACATGAGCTTATATGTTCTGGCTCAAGACTGTTCAAAGTACGTGGCAGAGAAGATGGATGCTGGAATACTGGAGCTCAGTGTAGAAACACTACACACAAATCCCTTAAATGCACTGTATATTTAAAAGTCAGAAGCCACCTTCTTTAGAGTTAAGAATAAACCTGCAATTTAAAAAATGGAAAAACTGGAAAAAAAAATCTGTGTTTTGAAGGTTCTAGTCAATTTCAAGGAAGCAAAAAAGAGAGCAGGGCTGCCAAGGTTATGTTCTGGTAAGCTTAAACTGAAACATACCATTTTAACACTTACATTTAGCACCTGTTCTCCCTTCTCCATCACAAGTTGAACGTCCTCATTTTGATCTTCACGCCATAAGCTCATGAAAGTATTTATTTCCTGCAGAACAGTTGGGTCAGGACTTCCATCACAACTCAGGTAATGCTCCCACTACAAAAAATGTTCAAAGAAAAGTAGATATGGGCATGTGGTGCAAATGACTCATTATTACAAGAAAAAGGACTCTGAAAGACAAATATATTATAGTGATACACTCACACCTGCATCTAAACAAGACTGTAACACCACCTGGCATACCACTATGGCAGAAAAAATTGCTTTACTGTGATATTAATGTGTTAAGATACTCCTGCCCACCTCACATTCACTGTTTACACTCACTCATCAGTGGCTGCTGCTCTGCTAGAGACTGCACATTTACAAAAGCAATGAATTCAGTACCTGCCACAAATGAGAAGTGGAAAGAATAAATGACTGAGAACATAAACGAGGAACCAGTGCAGGTGGAAGAGGCAGATGGTTCTCAAACGAGATACTGCCAACAAAACTGAAAATTCCTACACTGGCAATAAAGCTGCTTAAGAGCTTTCCCCAACATGTTTATTCCTCCCTTTTCTGCCTCTGAAGGAGATTTCCTCCTCCTTATCACCACCAGTTCAGCTGTTCTGGTGGGAACGTGAAACTCTAGATCTTTTTTTTTTAAATAATTTTATTTTCAAATCAATTATTGGTCATTCTTAATGAAAAAAAAAAATCAGCAACAGGCTAAACCCACTTAACTCCACACATGAGCCTAACATTGGCTCATGGATCAATTTATCACTTATAATGTAATTTTTTTCATCCATATAGTAAGATATTAAGGAAACACTGCCTCCTTGTTTACTGTGAAGATTGCATTACAATGTAAAATGGATCTTTTAAAGCAAAAGGGCTTGTATAATTGCATTCCCAACCACTTCCATAACCATTTCCACTGACTTCAAAAAAAGCAGTAATAGGTGAGTGCTCAGTACACTGGAAACTCCTGTATGAAAGACTGATCAGTCTTCAGTAATTAAAACATCTGATTTCTTTTTATTTATTTCTTTTACATCTTTGCATTTAAAAGAGAGCTTCAGTTTCACCATCCGGAAAACACATCCTTAAAAATAACAACACTTGTTCTTTGAGGAAAAGGATACATTTCACAGTAACCTGTAAATGTGTCTGTTAATCTGAACTGCCATTGTTCAGAAATGGACATGGAAACTCAGCATTTGGTATTATAACTTTCTTTTACCTTAAATACTCTTAACAACAGACTAATACAAACTCTATTATCTCCCATAATCTACCAGTATTATAATTTAAGATCTATTTTTAAAATCACAGTTCTATTTTGCTGTTACTTTTCAAAACAAAAAAAATGTTGTTTCTCCTTCCGAGAAATACTCTTCAGAAACATCCATAAATAACAACTGTCTCCTTTCAAAGTGACTCGCAGATTCTCTTGTTCTCAAGGATAATGAAGTCAGAGCTTGTCATCAACTGAAAAACGCAGTAAAAATCACCCGAAGATGTCAAGAGGGAACTGTGAAGTTATCATGCTGCACCCTTGTGGCAACGAAAGCAACGGGCAGAGCCGGCTACCCCAGCGAGGACTGTTCCCTCTGCAGGGCTCCTGAGGCCACATCTGCAGTGCAGCACCCAGTCTGGGGTCCCTCAGTACAAAAGCAAAGAGTGGTAAGTTGGGAAGCCCAGAGGAGGGACATTAAAACGGTTGGGGGTACTGGAGGAAACAACACATGAGGAAAGGCCGAGCTTTGTGAGTCTGGAGAGGACTAACAACGCAAAGGGAGGAGCTAGTTGCAATCCACCTGTACCTAGAGAGGGGCTACAGAGGCAAACTTTTCTCAGAGGTGCACAGGGAGGACGTGTCAGGACAAAGAGGCCAAGATCATCCACTGTAACAAGGGAAATGCCAACTGGATTTAAAGAAAAATTATTACAATGAGAGTCGTAACGGACTCAGCTGGGTTGCCCAGAGGTACTGTGGTATCCCCAACCTTACACATTTTCAAAACTCAACTGAGCACCTTCACCTTACTTGAAAGTTTGCCCTGCTCTGTGCAGGAGGCTGAAGTCTATGAGTTTCAGAAGTCCCTTCTAGCATGATTTATCCTATGATTCTAAATTTGTTCTACAGAGGCTTTAGAAAGGATTAAGACAAGATAAATACAAGACAAAAAGAAAATCCTTGTGTCTACAAGTCTGTTTAATCTTACCTGGAACCAAACTGACCAAATACCATTATCAGTTACTGAATGATGTTTGATGGATTTAAAAGAGCTAAATGTTCTACTCTTGTATTTCCATACTTTATTATTTAAAATTTAACTTTACAGGCATAGAGTACTATAATATTACAGAATATTCAACCTACATGTATGTGACCCCTAAACTACAGACATTAACTCTGAATTGCATTTGTACCTATTTCAAGTCCTGATATGTGACACAGATTTGTGTCCTTTAAAGTTTTGGCCAACCTCTCTCCAAATGATGAGCTGTGATATCCAGAAACCACTGGAACAAATGTTGTCAATTGTCTCAAATTCTACAAAAATTTTTTTAAGCCCCAGTAGAGATTTTTTTATGTAATGTTTAAAAGTAGAATCAATTAAACAAATAGAAAAAGAAGGACAAATAGCAGAACATACGAAACTACAATTCCCCTTGACTGCTGGTAAGCTGGGGGTCCCTAATTCTTTGATCAGCTGGACAGGCTTCTCTTCATTCATGTTTCTTTTCTGTGTACACCAAAGTACAGAAGACAGAGGAGAGTGAGGATGGCCAGTTACTACCTTGAGATGGAACTTGAACTGCAGTCATAGCTCACACCTAAGTTCAAGAAATGGAAGCATTCCTGGATCCTATAATGGAGACGAAGCCTGAAGCTCCTTCAGTGTCGAACCTCTACTACACTGGGCAGATTTCTGGAAGAACGCTTACTTTTGCACGTGCTCTGTGATCCCTTTTCCACTGCTGTGCAGACAAAAACTTCTGTTCCAGAGAACGAAGTTCTGCCAGTTCAGACTCCCTTCGTTCCTGATCCTGTTAAAATACACATATATCAAATAGAGGAATTAAAATATTTGGTTTACTGCTTACAATTATTTTTTATCAAATTAAAAAAAAAAAGAGGATATTTGAATGAATTATCATTTAAACAAATCCAAACACTGACAACTAGCTTTTTTTCTGAAAAATTTAATTGAGAAGACTGCAGCAGTTTGCAATATGTTATTGTCATCACATATCAGTTGCTGAGCCATATGATAACCATAACATGTCATATGATTGTTAACCTCTCACTTGAATAGTTTCCATACCATCATCCTGGAACTATCCGTAATGAGAGCTGATGAAAAATGTAAGCATATGTGGGAAAATGTGTGCAAGATGATTTTTTTTTTACCCTTCTAATTTATATTATTTTAAATGTATCTTCTCTCTAGGGGGAAAATAATATTTTGTGAAGGACAAAAGCCACAGGGATTCCATTCTATTTCTGGGGGAAAAAAAATAATTGTAGTAAAACTCCTTTTCTTTTCTTTTTTTGAAACACAAAAATATTTAGATACTATTCAGGTTTTTTTTCTGAATGCCAGTCATCTTAGGAAAAATAAACATACATAATTAAATATACACACACACACACATATATATATATATATATGAACATGCACACATACAAATCAGTGCATCTGTCCTAATATGTAACCACTTCTAGAATTTATACCAAAATTTTCTTGCCACAGCTGTACCAAATGTAATTATAAGGAACACAAAAAAATTATTCAATTTAAAGTATAGTAGAAATGGAAAAAATTAAGTATTTATTCAAACTGGAGTATCATATATCCCAAAAGTTAATGTATTTAACCACAGCATCTTTATGTATCAAAACCAGGCAAGACTATCTTGTCTCAGAGAATTTTTCTGAATCAAAGCAACACTTGGGCAAATATTGGCTGAGTGAAAGGCAACTACAGAAACAACCCAGCATCATTTCTCTTGACTTTACATGTATCGTGTTTTATTTAATTACTAACCCAGCTTACTACCTTCTCAACTTGTGGGATCTTACACAGGAGTACTTTTCAGTGATCTGGCTAGATTTTTCATTACCAATTTTAATCTAGTGACGCTAGAAAATTTCCTCTACGTTGTTCCCAACACTAAGGACATAAGGAAATTCCTTTCCATTCTCACACTAGATTAATAACTTTTTATAGACCTTATCACAAGTTCAGAAATAGGATTATAAATTTTCAGTAACTGCTGAGCATGAACTAACTTTTGCCTTAAGCTTTTCCATCTGTTCTTGTTCAATTCTCTCCTTTTCAAGTCTTGCTGCTTCTTCTTGAAGTCTGGCTTCCTCTGAAGATTGGGAAATGTATCAAGAGCATAATTATATTTTGCTTAATAAAACAAATTATTTTGTTATTAGCTGTAATGACAAAAAACCCATAATAATGAGCAACACAAAAGTGTATCTTACAGTGCAGAAATCTTGCAAATAAGCCAAATTACTTTGAATCATAGTATTAAAACACACTATCTATGGCGCTACTCCTATCAGCCTGTGACGATACAAGTGGAGATGAGGGTCCAAGCCCTTTTCCCCCCTCAAAAACAGCAGCAGGAGTGCTCTCTTTATCTACAGCTTAAATTCTTAATCCAATGTCTATGGTGAAACTGCCTGAGTGGTTCAGTCCCAAGTTACTCTTCCCTCCTACAACCTTTGGTGGGGTACCTCGATCATAGAGTTACTTCTTCACTGAAATCCTTTTCAGGATCAGATACTCCTGATCACAGGTTTGGCTTTTCTTTGCTGCCACAGGGACTAGAAGATGGGAGAGGATGTGAAAACTAAAATTGATTTCAACCTCTAAGCCTTCAGCTTAAGCTAGCACAGCCTCTGCATCAATCCAGATGCTCCCAAACAGTGGCTTGAGTGTTACTGCCTATATGCAACTCATTCCAAATACATCTGTGTTGCACAGAGGCAAGAGCAGGGGCAGTTCCCCAATCTGCCTGTGCTCACCTGAACCACTAACCAATCCACAGAGGTTACTAGCGATTAGTAGTCACTTACTGTTACGAGCAGTCATAGCCCAAACCCCCACCAGGATGGATTAATGGCAGAAAGGGAAGTAGAAGAGATGGATCTGATGTTCAGACAGGGCTATCAGGTTGTGATACTGAACTGCAGAAGCAGACACATTCAGATGGGGAGGACAAGTCAAGTCACGCAACTGGGATTGCATTTGAAGGACTACAACAATGACATCCAGTGGAAAGATCTTGAAGAAGTGTGTAGAGGCATCAGTCATCAGTAGAGACAGAAGTAAGCCCAAGCAAACTACACTTCAGTCTATCCAGGTTTGTAGACACCTTATCTGCTACCACTTCAGAACACAAGTATTCTGTTGGCCTTCTTTGGGAAAAGTCCTTTTCAGAGAATTTCTCTTGTCTACTGATAACTAGGCTTGAAAGAAGATGGGGCGAGGGGGAAGAAAACCACAAAACATCGTATTTCTGACTTGCTGAGGATATTTCAATAGGTAATGGTAAGAGAAAAAAAAAACCCCAACATAATTCTTCCAGCTATCCTCCTTCCCAAGTTCCTAATCATGGTAGAAGTAGCAAGACAGCGTGGCTCCAATAGGAAAGTGAGATGGAGGAGGTGGTAACAAGTAACGCAGAATGTGGCCCGAGGGACGAATCACCTGCATTTGTGAAACAGGGATGGATACTGGTGCACACACAGTTTGTGAGGTTACTTTCTGCCCATTCAATTGATTTGGCCATCACGTTCCCTGTAAATGAAGTGCACAGTACCTTCCTCTTTCAGCCTTCTTTCTTCTTCTTCTTTCTGTAATCTCAGTTGTTCAGCTTTGCTAGCTTTCTTTTTGCCACCAGACTTGATGTTTGCAATAAATTAGAAGAAAACAAATGTCAATAATACTTTAATACATTTTGGGAGGTATTTGCCCCCTATAACTTTGCCCTTCTAATCTGATACCTGAATTAAGATTTTTAGACTTCTTACACAGTCAATGAAGCCTCCAGAATGGTAATCCACATCTTGGACTCAATTTTCTTCTCATTTTCATGATGCAATACATGCTCTTACAATTAATGTATCATTCTATGCTAGATGCTCCTGAACACGGCCACACTAGGGAAATATTAAAATCTTTTCTTTTAATATGGACACTGAGTAACAGGTAGATCTGCTGACAAAGTGGATGTTACAGCTTCAAACGTTTTGTGAAATATTTGGAAATGTATTTTGATATATAGGCAAGTCTGTCATTTAGAAGCCTCTAATTCACAAGACAACTAAGAAAGAGTTCTCTTTACTGTCATAAAATCCTAACTGCAATTTAAGACAAGTTAACTGTTCAACTTCTAGGTTAATCCCAGAAAAACTATATTTTAAGTTTGGGTTTCTCAGAAATTATCCTCCTTACCAATCCTTTGCAGTCTGGGTATACATTTTTAAAAAATAAAAGACAACGTAAGTAACACGCAAAATCTACTGTCATGTAACAGATTAACCAAAACAGAACACTTATTTTTGTCCTGTAATTCACAGCATTCATAGATTCCTTACTGGTGTTACATATAAAAATTTGATAATTGGATGTGTGCACATGATGCCACGTTGTCTTCAAGACACATGAACAGCTAGGATGTGGAAAGCATAATTCTCTTTGCATTTGAAGACTTTGGATTTGGCCCCTCACTTTTTTCAGCACCAGCAAAAAGGAAGATTCTTGGATGACTTTTGATTTTTTATTATCATTTTGTTTGAGTTTCGTGTTCATTTGCTGCGTTTACAGTCTTGGGATGTTTAATCAAAAGTGTAGGATCAGCACTGTCACTAGAAATTAGCACTTAAAATAAAGCCATGCAAAAGGAAAACACTAATTTCCTGTTGATGCAGTAGCAAAAGCAGCCCAAGGTCTCAATCCCCTCACCAGTCACATAGTTACTAAGGACTAAATCATCTTTATTCAGTTTTACTCAGTGTTTACACAGGTAACACTGCCATTGTATTGCACACATAATAAAGTTGCAGTAAACGTGTCTTGACTCCATCTGGGGCTGATGGAGTGACACCAGGGAGGAGTGCAGCTCCTGAAGGCAGATGCTGCAGAGACAAGGCCTGAGCACAACAGATTTTTTTATTTTTTTTTTTAAAAAGGGGGGGGACAGGAAGTAAATCAAGTAAATCAAAACAAGTTGGTGGAGCTTGTAAAAACAAGGAGGTTGATTTTGTACTGAACTGCAAAATTAATTCACAGCCCATGTTATTGTTCATGAGTGAGACAGATAAGGCTGGTTTTTTGTACACATGGGAAAACAAACCACGATATTCTGCACAGGCTCCAGCACCTGGAGAAAACAGTGACAGCAGTCTAAACTAGGGCTGGAAGCAAAGGTAAGGATGACAAAAGACAAGATGTCAAGGAAAAGAAATAACTTGCATTTGGTGGTGTATCCATGTACTGGCTGAACAATGGTGTCCTGCCACTGACACACACAAACAAAGGAGAATTAAACTGAATCAAATGCTTACTTTTTTAAAGCACAGAAAATATGGAATGTAAACAGGCTCAGAGGGCGAGGCAATGTGAAAAGAGGAGACACATCCTCTGCCTAGACACCCAACCTGGATGCTGTGCATCAGAAAGCTGAATCCAAGTTCCCACAGCAGCACTGGTGAGAGTCGAGCGCTTACAAGGACTCAGCCGGGTAAAGCAAAACGACTAAACCGATGTGAGTTTTATCCACAGTGTCAGCAAGAGAATGTAACTGGATGGGATCACAATGTCAGTGAGCACCAAGGATTAAAGGCATCTGTCAGGAGTCCAATCCTCCCCTTCTGCAGAGGAATGGGTACAGAATGGTACCAAACCAGCACAGTGCCTGTCTTGCAGAGCTGTAAATAAGGCAATCAAGAAAGAGTTCCAACAGAGCTGACAGGGAGAGACGACAAAAGAGGGCTTAAGTCCAAACAGTTGCATGAACATGATGGTGTTACGAAGTTTTCCCACTCACTCCTCCCAAGTATTCCTAATAATTTGGTAAATACTGCTACAAGTAATCCCATTGATAGGGAACTTAGAAATCATCAAGGAGAACCTTTGTCATTCGTCACACAAAAAGTGTGTTACAAATACTGTTATTTCACATTTTGATGCTGACTAGTATATGTTCAGATATAAATAGCTACTTTGAAAGTTATTCACTTTACTTTACATGGCAATAAATATATACAGAAATGTAATTTAGAATACAAGGTTCATCACAAAGCTTGAGTAAAAACAATGGTGAAAATTTAGTGCCAACAACACACGTACACCCACCAGAGTTACCATTAATCTTGTCACATTTATTACCAAAGCATTTCTTTGCAAAATTCTCCTAGAACAGAGTCAGTAAAAAAACACAATTCTACCCATTAATATGTCAGGGAAGAATCAGTTCCTTCCAGTAAAATAAAAACAAAACAAAACCAAACAGACAGACAAAAAACAAAACCAAACTTTGGTTACTTTTCTTCCAGTGAAAATGGAAAATCTGCTTGTTTCAATTATAATCATGTTTCAGTCAACTTCTTTTCACATGCTTATAACTTAACATAGCACTGAGAAAACCGAGATGCACAGTTCTCCAAGGTATATATTTGAATGTGTTCTTTTTTTGGGGGGGGAGGTGTGATTATTCACTTATTATTATTATTATTAATAATCCACAGTCATGAATGCATGCAATCCAGTTTCCCGTGGATTTAGGTCTGTTGTCAGCGCCACCCATAGAATCATAGAATGGTTTGGATTGGAAGGGACCTTAAAGATCATCCAGTTCCACCCCCCCTGCCATCAGCAGGGACACCTTCCACTAGACCAGGTTGCTCAAAGCCTCATCCAGCCTGGCCTTGAACACCTCCAGGGAGGGGGCATCCACAACTTCCTTGGGCAACCTGTTCCAGTGTCTGACCACCCTCACAGTGAAGAAGAGTCATGTTCTGTGTCCAGCCTGCAGCTCAAGCCAGGACACTGGCTCTCTGCCCAGACATTCACCACCAAGCAGAACACAGAGCAGCTGCGCCCGTCACCTTCTCTCTGGAAGCTCTGCAGGAACACGACTCAGCCTCCTTGCAACAGGCACAAAAACTTGGTGTCCTGGTGACATCTGTTCCTTTTTCAAATGTGATTGAGCCTGACCAACAAGCTCAGAAGAAATACAGATTAAAATTTAAAAAAAACCCATTTTTTCTTTTTAAAAAAGCACGTTTGCACAAAGGTGTCACAGCACCTTTAAGACAGAACTTCTCAAAAAATAATATTCTGTAGACATTAAGTACAGAAGTAACTGATGCTTATTTTAATTTCTGTATGAAATGCTTCGTAATTTCACTGTATTGGGTTTGCATGGCAAGGTTCTG